CTATTAGTTTCAGGTGCGTCACTTCTGTGGTGCTTATCTTCATACAACTTAAGAGCAGCCTGATTTTCAAAGAGCAGGTGTCCATCATTTAGTAAAAATCCAGTTATATTAAAGTGTCAGTGAACTTGAGATATCCAGATGTACTAAGCCATTTTTTGAAGTCTTGTTCAAACCAATGTCTTCTGCAAGACTTTGTAGTCCAATTCACCAAATACAATGTATAGAATAAAAACAAGATGAGGCTTGAGAAGAAAGAGACATCAAAGGAAACAGAATGAAAACACGGAATTTGTCATATCAGAGCAGACTGTTGATCTGAGGAGGACTGTGTTCTGCTTCCAGCTGTGGCCAGTACCTTGTGATGGTAAAGAAGGGCCAAAAAATATGATTCTTAGCATGCCATACAAAAATCCCTCCCAAGGTCTTTGTTCGTGTTGTTCACTGCAAATAGATTGGTTAAGTAAGAATGAGGTGGAATAAGAAACCATGCTTGCCAGTTGATAGTTGATGAAGGAAGCGTATCTATGTCTAACACACAGGCAAAATGATACAAGACTAGTTCATCCTTAGGAAAATATTATCCCTGTGATGCTGCTACATTCAGTGCCTACATGGGTTATGTCTGCCTTGAACAGAAACTGCTAAGTTTGCAAGGTGATTTTTTTTTGAATTATTTATCTTAATTTTTTCTAATTTCTCAGAAAATTTTGTGATATTTCATTCATTTCTCCTTTGTGCAGGAACTGTTGCTGTGGAAAACACAGCTCACCAGGCATTACTTCCTCAAAATGCACATGTAAAGTTAGGCACTGAAGGTCAACCTGTGTGTCATATCCTTCTTATTCTTGCATCAGTTCAAACTTGCATCTTCCTGATTGTCACATTATAAGAAAGTCTGTGCAGAATTGTGGAATGGGCTAGGTTAGAGGGGATCTTTGGAGATCACCTGGTCAACCCTTCCCTGCTCAAAGCAGTGCTAACATTTGGTAAAGTCTTTCAGGACCTTCTCTGGGAAAATTTTGACTATTACCAAGGATGGAAGTCTCATGACCTCTTTGTGAGCATATTACTTTGCTTGACTGTGCTTTTTATGCTTTTTTCCCCCTTTGTATGTAATTGCAGTTTCCCATGATGTAAGTTTTGAGGATTGCTTTTTGGCCTTCTGCTGTACACTGCTAAGAAGAAGTTGTCTCTATCATCTCTCTGGCACTTCTACCCCCTTTAGGAAGTTGAAAATAGAAACTAGACTCTCCTTTGTTCTGAGTTGAACAAATCCAGTTTCCTCAACTTTTTGTCATGTCATGTGCTCCACTAACGTGATGGAACTTCTCAGTTTGTAAATATCCGTTTTGTCCTAGGGAGCCCCACACAATGCTCCAGATGGGATCCCTCAAGTGGTAAATTGACAGGAATAATTGCTTATTTATAAAATGGTTCATGATTGGTTTCTCTCTCATCCCTCTACATTGATACCAAGACAAGAAGGAAAACAAGATTTTGAGACTACAAGAAGAAAGAAAAGAGATGTTGTGATTCTGTGCTTAATTTTTCCCTCTGGTTCTTTCAGCTTTTCTTTATTTCTGCATAGTGACACAACTTCAAAAGAAGGGGCAGATGGTGCTGCTATTGATCCCAGCTATCAAAGACACACCCTCCTGAGAGGAAGGGGAGAGATAAGGGTTTCAGCCAGTTCCAGCTTGGTCCTCTCAGTTGTTTGGGAGGAATACACTATCCATTCAGAGATGATTTAGTATCAAGTTGAATGATACTAATTGAAAAGATGTCTTTTTGCATGCAAAAATGTTATTGTTTTGAATTGTGAGGCTTTTCTGTATTTTCAGGAAGTCTACTTGCCCCTATAACATGTAGAATGTGTGTGCAACACATTAGGCTGGACTTTTGTACCTTTAGAAATACAGTATGTATTACTTGTTTGAGAAATGCCATGCTTCGATGATTTAGACATAGGAATTGCCTTTCTAGTTTCTAGGTTTCATTGCAGCTTAGACCAGGAGAAAGCTCTGTGCTGGAGCAGCAAGGCATTTTCAAGACAAAATGAAAACTGAGTCTGCCTGCTGTCGGGTGAGTTGTCTAGGAACATAAAGTCCCATGTAATTGTCAAAGTCCTCTTGTGTGGGGGGGGAGGGGTGTGTCTAACCTGAAGAGCTAATTTTTAGAAGTATTTAGGCAACTAAGTGAGCAATAAGAACATAATGCGTTTTAAGGAATTTTCAGTCCTGACATGCCTTGATTTCCTGTTTTTGACATGGACATAGTCTCTTCTTGCAAGGGTGTGTGGAGATGAAATTACGTATTCAAGTCTGCAGAGTTCTCAGACACTATGTTGTGTGCAGGACATAAAGTTATTTCACCAGGTACTATGATAGAGGGGTTTAATGCTCCTCCTATCTCAGTCCAGTCAATCCTCTGCTTCTGCTTGTTTGCCTTTTCCCTCCTGTTTTATTGTGATATACTTCTGTTCTTTGAGAAGCATATGTTGATGAATACTGATGGCTGAGTGTGTGTTTTGGAAGAGGTATATATACTCGTGGATTTCTTTTTTTTCCATGACACTTCTACAAAAAATAACTGCAAAGCCATTCATGAATAAAACCCAGGCACTCGGTATAACTGTGCAGAGTATAAATCACCAAAGAGGCAGCCTTATGTTTGACTTTATAATATGCAGCAGAAGTGCCTTCACATCATCAGATGTTGATGCTATGGCTGCCATTCCTAAGTTGTTCCCCCCACACCCCAAGCTGCTGCTAATAAATTACAAACACATTTGCTCTCATTAATCATTCTTTGAAATGGCAGAATAGTCTTTGCTGATTGAAAATAATTATTAGCGTCTCAAAAGGATTAAACAGCCTGTTTAGATTTTCATTTATATCACCATTTTGATGGAGTGATGTGGGGGTATGTACACAGCCTTTGTCTTAAAAGTAGTAATAATAATAATTAATGCTGTGTAACAAAGAGTTTCAGAAGGACTTCAAACAAAGAGAGAAAGAAAAGGCAGGCAAGGTGAGCTGTAGAATGATTGTAGGACACAGAACTGAACATAAGCTTGTGTTGGGCAGGAAACCTCCTGCTGTATCAGAGCAGTGATAAACACAAAGGAAACTACAGCATTCTATATGTAGCAGTGGAGAGACTTGAAATGTCTGGCTAATGTTACAATCTGAGCAGTGTAATTAATCTGGAATTGAAATAATACCACAGATGTTTAAAATTATTTTTTTCTACCGAGTCAGTATCCTGCACATTTACAAATTGTAGGTTGTGGATTAATAGCCCCTGAAGTTCATTACTCAATGGGCCTTGCTCCAAGCTTTGAATTTACACTCAGTAAAGTGTATTTGGATTGAGACAATTTCCTGAAGTCAGGCCCTGAGTCTTCAAAATAAAGTGTGTTTTCTCTTATCGTGTTCTGTGGGTACTGGGATGGGACTGCTTGCTGGGGTGCATGAGGTATTAAAATAAATTAAAAAACCCCACACCAATGAGAAAAAAAGCACCAGAAAAGATTTAGCACATGTATATTTCAGAATGGGATGCAATGTGGAGATGGCCAGATAGTATAACCCTATTGATGTCATATACTCAAAATGTAACACTGGTAATAAGATATTATATTTGCCTGCTGAAGGGCAGGACTTATTAACTAGTTCCATGTTCTACACTAATTTGATTGTGCTGTCTTGGGACGTGAGCTGACATATCCATGCAGTGCAATACACCTCTCTGTGGAGGTACTTGCTACTTAGGGTTTGTTACAGGATTCGGATAGGGTAAATTCCATCAAAGGCTTTGTGCTTGATATTTCCTGTTGATTCTCTGTAGGCAGCTCTCTGTCTTGACCCTCATTTTAGTTCTTTAAGTCATTCTGTTGAGTCCGTCAGCTGCCCAGTTCTCTAGACATGGCGCTTAGATGTAAATGGGGCTGTTAAAATAAATCCCTCTGTGATTGTCATGTTTCATTCATCCTCTGTGGAATGCTTGACGTGAGAGCCCAAACACTGAGAGGCCAATAATGGATTCTCTTCACCTGGGGGGATGGGACATGTGGCATTCTAGTTTCTACTCAGAAATATTTACATAGATTTTACAAAATGAAAAAGCCCCAACAAGAAGGGTGAAAATGTGTTCTTGTTTGGAAATGATGATGGTCATGTAGTCATCAGTCATGGCTAGGCTTTGCGAACGAAGATTTGGGAAGGGCTCTACCCACGTTTGTTACAAGTGCGCTGGTGGCTAAAAAGGCCAATACAATATAGACATGTCCGGTTGCAGAGGGCACAGCAGAAAGACTCCTTAGGAGGTAAATTCTGCAGGGCGTGATTCTTTCTGCGTTGTCTTTTCTCCTCAGGAGTGATCCTGTGTGTGTTCTCAAAAGCACCAGCAGCGTTATAGATGGTGTGTCTCCAGACCTCCCAATTGGAGGCCAGAGTAGACCAGTTATGATGATCAATATGACCAAGGCTGAGATGTTGTTTCAGGGAGTCCTTGTATCTTTTCTTCGGGGCTCCTCTCATGCGGCAGCCGGTGACAAGTTCACCGTAAAGCAAGATCTTAGGGAGGCGGTGGTCCTTCATCCTGGAGACGTGTCCTGCCCAGCGCAGCTGTGTTCTCAGCAACATGGCCTCAATACTTGTGACTGCTGCCTGTTCTAGAACAGATGTATTAGTCACATAATCTGACCAGTGGATGTTTAGGATTGTACAAAGGCAGCGTTGATGGAAGTGTTCTAGGAGTCGCAGGTGGTGGCGGTAGATGACCCATGATTCAGATTCATGTAAGAGAGTAGACAGCACTATGGCTCTGTAAACACTGATCTTGGTACTTTTCTTCAGGTGTTTATTTTGCCAAACTCTTTTATGAAGCTTTCCAAAAGCACTATATGCCTTTGCTAACCTGTTGTCTATCTCTCCGTCAATCTTACCATCCGAGGAGATGAGGCTTCCTAGGTAATTAAACTGCTGGACTGATTTGAGCACTGATTCGCCAATGGTGATATGGGGATGATGGAAGACTTCCTGAGGTGCAGGTAACAATTGAATTAAACCTCTGAAGCAGAAAGGACTTCCATAGTTGTTAAGTAGAGGGGAATCCAGAATTATTTTTTACTTATGTGGGCTCCTGAGAGAGAGATGGAAGAACAGTGCCTTTGTCAATTTTTTTGTGACCAGGTAATGAATGGCCGATCACTATTTAGATGGTTGTGCATCTACTCAATAGCACCTTGTTGACTTTAGCAGTGGAAGAAGGGGATGGTCTAAGCGTTGAATGTTCAAATGATGTCTTAAATGTTGGGCTTGGAAACCTGAAGAGTCATAAAGGTATCTTGTGAATCTAACTCTGGTCAACCCAGCATTCATTTCCTTTGAATATGACTTTTTTCAACTAAAAGGGAAATTGTACACTGAAGTACTGTATCTTTTTTTTCCTTGTCACATTTTGTACCAAGAATCACAATACAAAAGCTTATTTGGATTTATGGTTGGATAAATGGTTTTGTGACACAGGTCAAGGAACCCTTGACGTAATGATTTAACTAACCTCTGGAGCATTATTTTGCTGATTGTACAATGGGAATTTTAATTTCTCTTGCACTTTGCTATGCTTAATTAGTGTGCAAGGTCTTCTGGCAGGTCTAATATCTTAAAATATATGTAAGCGTTTTAAGGACCTATGCACTGAGATCCCCATTTCCACTAAGTGCTGCAGGTAACAGGTAACAAGATAGGCTGTGTGACAGGGTGCATGGCATAGGGTGCTCTCAACTATAAAGTTTAAGACAGTGTGTACTCCAGGCAATCTAAATACCAGTGATTTATTTTAGCAGCTGTTTACATAATTCTTGTATAGGTGTGAAAATTGTCTATGAAAATATTTAAAAGTAAATGCAATTTATTCTTCTGAAGTTCAGTATCCAGTTCCTAAACGTGGAGCTCCAGATGGAGGTTTACTAGAAGTGTGTCTTTAACACTATGTATGATAGTATATGCTCTTCCTTCCCTTTTACAGTATTCTTATTTCTATGTGCAGGTTCCATTTTGAACCTACTCCATAGCAAACATTTTATTTTTCAGTCACCTTGGAAGATGTTTCTGAGAATGGTATATATTGAAAGAGGTTCGTGACTTTCCTGTTTTTCTCACAGACCACCTTAATAAATATTGCATTGATTCTTTGCTATATTAGCTGCTACTGCTGTGTCCTTAATTCAGACTTTTTCATGCACAGCTGTTGTTTAAATGTACAGAGATCAAGGGGATAGAGTAGGTCAGACCTGTTTGTATTTTGCATGCATAGATCACTTGATTTTATGAGGGGAAGGAACTTATCTAACCTTGTAACTAATAGTTACACATTGATTTGCATAATGAATTGGTGGCAACGCTTTCCTTGTCAGCAACGAAAAGCAATATTGGATTTAAATTTACAAAGTTGTGGAGAATGATAAACCAAAATATACTAATCCTGGGAATTAAGGTAACAAAATGTATGTCTGCCTTCCTTATGTTAGCCTAATTCCTTCTTTCTCTGGATTCAGATCTCCTTTGCAAGTGACTTCATGCAGCCAGATGGGAAAGCATTTTCCTCACCTCCCATGTGTGCAGGGAAGATCCTCACTCCAGTGAAGACCATGATCCCTTGATGGCACAGCCATCTGATATGTAGGTGGGAGGACACTTGACTGTGTCTCTTTCAACTCAAGCAGCATAATCTAGAATAGGAAGGAAGGTGTAGGAGATACATTTTGCTGCTACATACATCCACTATGAGTCCAGAACTTTGTGAATTTTATGCCGCAAAGCTTCTTTCTAAGTTGAATTTGTTTGCATGTTAGCTCCACTTGGTATGTTCCTGTATGTTATCACCCAGTTACATATTTCTACACACAGGTCTTAAAATTAGATAGTGCATGTTATATAATTTTAACAACTGAGATCTTTGGTTATGAAAAATTCTACTATTACAAAGCAGAAACACAAAGGATGAAAAAAATAAGGGAATGAAAAACATTAACCTAGAAGGGTCATTTTTTATAAAAACCTTGACATGATTTATTAAAATATGGGATTTTATAGAACAAAATACATTTACGTGTCCTAGAGACATTGAAAAAATGGAAGTAGACAAGGTATCATTGAACATTCATTCTTTTTTTATGCACTTTTTCTTTAGTAACTTGGGTTATAATATCTGTTTTATTATTGACTGCTTTTATTTTTATACAGTTTGGGCCTGATCCAGTATCTTCTTACCAGGAAAGACTATTCTTTGAATAGGGAGAATAGGATTTCATCCTTTTGTTTGTTGATTTTGACTGCTCATTGGAGTTCACTTTTGTTTCAGCTGTTAACACTAACTCACTATATCTTGAGAGTCTCCTGGATTACTGCTTGATAATTGGGAGACTGTGTAATACAACAAATTGTTTTTAGAAAGGTATAGTGTAGAACAGAAGGTTGCTCTATAATTTGTTGTAATTGTTAGTTTGACTCACTTGTCTATTCTAAACAAATTTTACTGTGTTATTGCAATTACTGAATGTCAAAAAATAGTAAAAGAAAAAATAATATCAGCTTCAATTTCAAGGGCGTTGTTAACAGGAGAACCTGAACTTAACTGCAGCATTAACATACAATATCAAGTTCTGCCCTTTTAAATGCAACAAAAGTCAAATAAATTTTGTGGATGAAACTGAAGAGTATTTAGTCTGTTTTGTTTTGCTTGGTGCTAGGATAGAATGTGAAACTAAATATCTTCATCCAGAGATAACTGAAGTTCCTGCTCCTGTTTACATTTCATCATCTGTTAGAAATCTCCTAGGTGATTAAACTAATGCACTGTAAAAGAATGAATCAGTCCTGCAGAGTTCTTCTCTGTACAGGGAATAACTTGCTCGGTAAAGTACTATTGGGGTTTTACTAAATTAAAATCCTAGGAATTTTTGTATATAATATATTTTATCTGTGAAAGCTGAGTAAAATTTTATATGTGACTCTCAAACTAAATTCCTATGGTAATTAATAAAGAAGATTTGAATACATTTCTGGTAGAGTCATCTTTGACCAATTTAATAACTTGATTTTCTTAACAGAGGACAATCCTTATCTCTCAAGGCTTGCGGTAACATTGGGATACACCATGAAATTGTTAAGAAAATCACAGAGTCTTTCCTTTGTTGTGAAAAGATGAATTCAGATTGGAAAGTTATCATTTACTGACTCAGGTGAAATTCAGTCTTAGTAATTATTTAATATTTATATTTCAGTTCTTTTCTAGGTACCCATAGATCCCTGAAACTCTTATCAGATGCATCAAGTAGGCTGCTTACCTAAGCAAAGCCAACTCATTTTAACTAATCACTTGTTTACAGATAAACATGAATATTGGTTTTTGCATGTCTGCAAAGACAGGTAAAAAATGTAGTCAAGTGCATATTCTTCTAGCATATTATACACACACTTACCTTATTTTAGTAGATTTATTAAATGTTACTTATCCCCACCCCCTCTTGGCCTATTTTTTGTGACTGCTATGGCAAGGGGGAATGACAAGAGCTAAAAAAGAGAGAAGGAAATGATCTTATCAGTCAGCTCAGAGATGGCATTTCCTGAGTGGCATTTTGCAATTGTTACATGGATTAAAAGTGCAGATATATAATAAATTTGTGTTTTTTAGTGGGTTTGTCTTTTCACTCCTGATCTCCAGCTGCAATTTACTCTTGTCTGCTTCACTGAATGTAGTTGTGGATAAAGACTACAAGAAATTAATTGAAATCAAACAAAATCTTCCTTTTATTATATGACATAGCATTTGTGTATGCATTCACTAATTCTAATACTGTTTGATTTTTGATTGTAGTGGACAGAAATAATTATCTCCACTTTTTTTTTTTTTATAGGGTATGTGCTTTTCCAGTTTTTAAAGTTTCTTTCAGAATTCCATGTAAACAACTTACTATGCTGCACCCAGTAAGTACCTGCATGATGTGCACATTGCTGTAGATTGCTAAATCAATGTTAAATCTGACTAGAGTTGACTGAATTGGTAAAAAAAAAAAACAAACACACACAACCAAATATATGTACTCATTTGAATTCAAGAGGAAATTTTAATTCAGTCATGTATGCTGCCCTTTTATCCTTTCTGTTTGTGAACACTTAAGAACTTGATTCTTGATTCTGAGAATATTCCAGGAACATTTAAGACTGAAGATTTTATGAAAACAAATGTTTAATATAGTAGTAACAGGGTGAGAATCCTTTGGTAATAAAGCTTGTGATGGTGTTGTGGAATAATGGTTGTCTTTTTAAAGAGCTGGTTGATGTAGAACTTGATTTGGAAGAGGGCCTTTCATGGTTAAATTCAGTAGTCTTACAACAGCTGGGGAAGACTACCATACTTAGGAAGTAAAGCTGCTTGTTTTTCATAGGTATGTTACAAGGTGATCTATTTGATCTACTTGAAACAACCAAAATTTTCAGGAAAGAGTTTCTTGTGCAATAGCACTTGGCAGAATGGAAAAGAGGATTGCACACTCTGGAGAAAGGAGTTGGTAGCAGCTCAGCATACAGTGCTTTCCTTGGTTATTTGGGAACAGTACGTTTAGTTGGCTTTTGACCTGGTGCCCTCCTAAATCAACAGTAAAGGTTGGACAGATAAATAAGAGAAATTTGATGCACTGGTAATTAAGAAAGTATTCTGATTCAGGGCAGTAACTTAGAGGAAATGAAGAATGCAAACACACAGATGCAAACAGAGGGGAGAGCTTTTTCAAAGCTAATCCAACAACCTTTGAGCTCTGTCTCTGCAGAGTACAGTACTTTGCCCACTGTGGAGGGAAGGCTGATTTCGTTCTTTCTCCTATTTTGTTTTCAGTGTGGAGTCACTGCAGTAATCTCTGTTCAAAAGATGTTAGGGACATGGCAGAATTTGCTGCAAGCGAGAAGTATTACCCAGACAGTTTCTGTGTATGAGTTCTATTTCCTTGACAAACATTGACCAAACAGGACAGCAGTGGTAGCTGATGGATTAAGGCAGGGCAGATCCTGAGGGAAAGGGTTCCTTTCAAGAGATGGGTTTTTGACAACTGGCAAGTCAAGGAATTTCATCTTTAGTGGAATGGAGACTTGGAAGTTCTTTCTACCCAGCTGGGAAGGTAATAGTCTAAATTGCCAAGGAGTCCAAAGGTAGCAAAGTAATGAATTAAGGAGAGCATCAAGCTGGACAGAGTATAAAGAGGCATGTTAATGAATTTAAGAGTAAAATAACTGCTAACTAAGGAACACATTCTCTTATTTAAGTCAGCAATTATACTGGAAGACAGCAAATATTTTACTTATATTTATAAAAAGCCCCTGATAGGATTTACAGTGCCTGGCAGAATGCCTGTTTCAGCTGAATTGATGCCTAAACCCCACCCATTTCCTCTGTTTCACTGCTGACTTGCTTAGTGGTGTCACATTCAGCCAGCTTTAGGAATTCTTTAGCTGCATATTAATTGCATGCAAGTATGCCATTAGGCATCAGGGCATGTCTGAGTTAGGTATAGTAACACTTTAGTATCTTTGGTGTTCTGAGCAAAGCAATACTCTGATAAAGTATCATCCTGAGTAGATAAAAGAGTACAGAGCAGAGAAAAAAGGGAGTTCATTTTCCTCAGGAGAAAAAAAAATAACCTTTGGAGTATCTCAGGCTTCCACATATGGGTGGAAGTTGGTCTATTTATTAATCATTTGGAAAATGGAAGACCAGTGAGGTATTAAATTATAAGTATGCTCCAAAATAATGTAGTTAAGGTTGAAGAAATGTGAACAAACTTCAGGAAGAACTAACAAAGCTGGCAGCAATGTTGCCACAATGGTAGGATAAAATCAGTGTTGATTTAAAGTGGTGATCCAGGATGCATGGAGATTCAGGAATACACAGATGATAGGAACAAAAAGAAAAGCCCACCAGTTCAATAAGGGTTTTTAAAGGAGCCTTTAGTTAGTTGAAAACACTGATGATTAGGATTACAACAACTGTACTTAAGCATGCACTACAGTGTATTTTGCTTTTCATACCATAGTTATTTTTAGCATCACTACTCTGTTTTTCAATTTTGTTTTCATTGAAGTTGGAAAGGAAGACATTCTGGAGTAATTAGAACACTACTTTTCAGCCTTAGCATTCCCTTTATTCGTATGGTTAAAAAAAAAATCAAACTAATGGACTTCAGAGCCTTGTAGGGTGCATGGGCTGGGAGAAGCAGCAGGAAAACAATATACCTAATGTGGCAAAAGGTGAGATAGCAAACTTTTATGTACCCTGGGTACCATGTATTAATCTCCTGATAACTGCTTTCACATTTGAACCTTCTGTCTCTTATGTGAGATCCAGCAATCTTTGCTTTTTTTCTGTTCTGGGAGCAATTTTCTGAATCATTAATTTTCAGTGGCCAGGCTTCAATTAGCTTAATCAGGCATTGATTAGATTTCTCAAGTCCCTGGCATTTATTTTCCACCTTGCCTATATGGTTCCTTGACTCCATTACCTGATTGTTCACTTATTGCATATAAGGTTGATTCCTCTCCATTAACATTCCCTGATGAGAGGTCTCGTTAGCCATCCAGCTAGCCACTTTCATTAGTGATGGTG